TTAAATATGTATTTATTTTATAATTTTTTATATTATAAAAAGTAAATTAAAAATATTAATTCTATTAAAATTAAATATATATTTTTTTAAATAAAAAAAATATAATTCAACTATATTAAATAATAGTCTATATTTAAAAAATTAAACGAGAATTATACTAATATAAATAAATTAAAAATATTTATACGTTTATATAAATATTCTTACATATTTTTACTAAAGATATAATATTAAAATTATATCTACTATCCACAATTTGCGGATATAGTATTGGATCTTATATCTATTAGAGTGGATATGCCGCAGTCTAGATACAGTACGTTGCGAAACCGGTGCAACCACCTCCACTCTTCTAGTGATTCTCTAGGCCCATCGCCAAGAGACACTAGAGCACATTAGTAATAGCCCTGGAATATCAATATACCTGTACCAGTCTCGACACTATCATTTACTTTCATTAAATACGGTGCCGTGTCTCGTAACTGTATTGGCGCAAGAGAACTAGCCATCTCTTAGGTCAGCAGACCCACCCGCCCTTCAGCGTGTTGAATAAAATAAGATAAAGATACTTAGTGACAGGGATCTTCTTCTGGTTTAACTCCCAGTTATACTGTCTATAAACAGTGACTATCTTATTCAGCTGGGCTGTAGAGACCACGGCGCTTACAGTGGACTAGGAATATAGTAGTTAAATGCTTATAATAAGTGTAGACATCAGTCGCCCTTTCACATCTAAGAAAAGAAGAGAAACTTTAAATATTTAGTATATAGTATATTTATAATCCTGATCCTGTCGATATTTATAAGCAAAGGAATTTATATATATTATTTTAGTGAGTTCAATTTATAGGCTCTAGGATTTAACCGACCGGTCCAATCCCTAAGTGTTATTTACTTAGGTAGCTTTACTGTAAGTTAGTAACTTATTGGACTATTTACTACACCACAACGCTAAGTAACAGTAAATCAAACGCCCAGTACAGCTACACACGACGACGCCAGTTTAAGCGTTCATTTTACTTTGAAAATCTTAGCCGTCTTTTCAGCAGAATCAAAATCAAAATCAAACATGTTTATCGTTTGCTCCCAGAGTCCTACCATATAGGAGTCATTATACCAACTACTCTTGGCTTCTATAAAAATATCAATTTACTCTTACGAAATGCAGCGAGGCTGGAGACCAGATTGAAGATGAATTGCATGTAATTCACAGTGCTTCCTAAATCACTTTTCCGTGCAGTCTGGCCACACCATCAATCAGCACCAAAACAAGATCAAACATCCTCAAAATGAAAATTTGCTTTGATATGAGCTGTAGTCCAGCCTTTCCAATGTCCTGGCTTGGTGTCGGAACCATCATGGTCAAACCAGATTTCATCGTTTGTTGCATCATCATATAACTTGCCGTGCTCCGCCACCTTTTTAGTATGGCCGTGGTAATCCACATAAGCTGTACCAGGACGCTCGGCAATTTTGTTTACAAAGGTATCTCTGATTTGAACGGAGAGTCGGTCCTTAAGGTCGCTCATGGAAGGATGTCGACCTTCATGCTCGCCATATAATTCTGCTTCGAGGGATCTTCTGTCGCTAGACATTACGGTTGTTGGTTTGCTCAAGATGAGGCTAAGGCTCTTTGATGCTCAAGAATATGGATTAGGTTCTTCGATGATCCAGGATATAGATTTTATAAAGAAGCCCAGGGTGAGAAAGGCGATTTTATAGATGGGGGAATTTCCAGAGCCTCTGCTAGAAGAGTCTCGCCAGTCTAGCTTTATGGCACAGGAGACTTTTCCATGGTCACTTGATTTACGTATAGTTTGGTCATAAGAGAAGGGAAATCTGGATTAAATCGACAAGGGACCAATTTAACATGTCCAAATACGATACTAGATGACACAATGCTACTTGAGCCGATAAAATGGCTAGTTAAAATAAATTGTATAGCGTTCACATAGTGGTTTATGATGGTAATCAGTCTATTTTTTTTCTCTCTCTTTTTTCTCTTGTTTATTAAGAGGAAGAAAATGATTTTGCGATGAATTAGATTTGCAGAACTTTCTATAGTGAGTTCAGTCCATCCGATCAGGATTGTGATAGTATGATCCAAGTTTCATGACGTCTGCATTTAACACAAGTTTAAATGGTTATATTGAGTCTATTCTATGTTCCATGGTCTAGACCCTGTCCAGATAGAACGACCTGGGGAGGGCCGTTCGCGGCTGATAAACGGGTCACGCGCGGGCGATATAAATAAACTTTGATTTTTAAATGGCACAAACTATATGATCTTTCATGGAGGGTATAATAAAAGGGTTGAAATTTATCGAGTCAATTTTTAGAATGTATGACGATAGAGCCTCTTATGACTACACTTTACACGCCATGCATGTGGTGTTACCCGAATATTATGGGTCGGAATTAATTCCAGTCAATGAGAATGTCAATAAAAGCAGCGGCTTACAAAATGATGATAACCATGGACTTTTGTCGTAAGATGTAATCATTTGTCGAAAGTGATTATGCTTTTCTTGAGATACTTTGTACCACTATTGTCTACTAGGATCGTTACACTTATTTTCTCTATATTCTATAACTCGATAAACCATTCCACTTTTTCCCTTCACTATGGTCGCTATCGGCGTTCCCCCACAACTAGTACCAAATATGAAACACGACTACGAAGTCAGGCTCCTGCTCGATCTAACCGCAGTTCTCAGCTCCAATAATGAGCTGATAGAGATTGTCCTATCAACCTTCAAGATGCCCCGACCGTAACGAAGCTGAATGTCCAGTTCTTGGACAAAGGCTCCTTAGATCTCTACGCCACTGGCTGGAGCGCTCGCATTCGCAAGATTAAAAATAAGAAAGATCTCGAACTGAGCTATAAGAAACGGTATATTCAGTGACATTGACGCCGCTTTCAATGTGGCTAATAATGATGGTTTCAACGCTGATAACAAAACATACGTAGCGCAAGTCGAATGGGGTCTTAAGAAACGGACACCTTCTATTAGCCGCAAGAAAGACGTGGACTCTGAGAATAGTGGACTGGACCTGTCGGGAACTGGTATCTCCCGCCAACTTCTGATCGGCGAAGCACCAGGAAAGTTCGACAACTGGAATGGTAATTCATGGGGCACCAAAATATTGAAATTGATAAGGAATGAAGGTCTGGTTCTTCCAGTCTATCTTTCTAACCTAGTATTTATATATGACAAATGTGATATCGGTAAGGACAGTATAAAACGACGTAAACTCTGTACAATCGGTGTGTTAAAAACACGTGAATCAAGCGATCTGAGTGGTTAAAACAGAATTCAGGTGGTATCTTCCTAGCATTTACCGATAGCGGTCAGTATGGTTGACAGGATCTCATACATGTAACATGTAGCATAGTATTGGCCTGAAGCATTCTAATCATGGCATCCTCAGGTTACTAGGCTTAGACACTCTCCCCAGCTAGACAGACATCTCATGATATAGTATTCGCCGTTCGCAGCCAATGTTTTAGTGACATCAAAAGTCAATATTCTTTGGGTTTGAAGCATATGACACTAGCTACCTATGTAAGGAGTCAGCCTATAGATCCTTCTCTTGTTCTAAGTTCATATGCTCCTTATGTTTTACTTCTACTGTTCAGTGTTTATGAGTAGTGGTTACATATCAGACAGTTCAAGGCTATCCGCACAAATACCCCGTTGGCCCGCATAGACCAGAACTGAAATTAAGATTGAGCCAGATATTGAGACCTCCAACTTGGTGACGTTAAACTTCTTCCGGAATTGGACTGGCTCAATGCTACGGTATCTTAACAAACTTTTGAAACGACATACTATGTCATGCAGCCCATAAAATATTTAGGAGTCTACTTCTACCTCTATCGTGAACTATTTGTCCTGCCTTTTTCACTTTAAGAATAAAACTCGATGATACCAAGATGCCGTCGCCTGTTTTATTCGCAGACATGGGCAATCGCGTATACTATCAGCCAGGCGCACGAGTTGGCATTGCATTAGTACAACCGACAATCACTGTTGAGCGAGATGACCCTGTATACTATATTTCAGCAAGGTTTATTCTTGAGACGGTTATCGTTGAGCCTCAACCGATGCCCAAGAGGAAATGGCACTTCCTGAATCTAATTCATCTGACTTGCCAGAGTCATCATACCGACGTTTGTTTGCCCGAATCAGATGCCACGCCAGCCATGAAAATAACAAGTACGCAATCTCGAGGTTGGCAAGCCGGGGGTGGTGTCACAGCAGGTCCTACCCCGGGTGGGAATGTCAACTTCAGCATCGTCGGAAATATAACAATTACCCGCGATACCCAAACTGGATCTTGGGGGCTCGTTGCTTTTAAAGAACCTCGTAAGTACGGTACTAGCACCTCGTCGTCGCAGAAATTTTAAACTGAAGACAGTTTCATAGTGCATAACGTTTGGCATTGGGAATCCAAAACGAAGACATTAGGATACGTTCCCGACGATGTAAAAACAAGCATGCGTCGAGCCATCACGGTTACTCGAACGCGCCCAATTGCCACTGTGAATGCAGAAAATGGCCCTGTGGAAAGTTTCAACTTCCGTGTCATTGTAACTAACCCCTCATATCTATCAAGATGACCTAAGTTGCTTATCTACACTAGATTGTCCCAAGCGAATGTGGGCATGGATTTCGTTTTAACGCATTCCATTACTGGCAGCAATGCACAAATTCTGATCCTGAGCGTGGATTCCACACAATATGGAACCATGGAGAACCTGGCCCTGCAGCAGATATCCAATTCACTCTTCTGTTGAATCAGACTGCGAGACCGCACTTACCACTGTCCAAAACAATCAGACTTAATGAACAGCTAGCATCTCTGATAAGTTCAAATGTGAGCGTCTATTCCCTTCAATTCAAGCTGGCCACTTACAACCAATAGAAACCTATTCTTCCGGGCTCCCTGGTTGATCATATCCAAGCAAATGAGCAAGAACTATTCGCATACTTGGGTGCCGCGCCAATGGGTCGCTGCCTCATACAGTCAAGATATGGTGCGTCAGAGATCATAAACCTTTAAGGTGCCAACTGTCTGGACCCAGGTCCTTCGCAGGGGTCCTTTGTAATTATGAAGCCATCCACGCATGGAGTAGTGCACTGTCAAACCATTAAGCCATCTTCGCCCCAGTAGTATGATTATCTCACCGTCGCCGGCCATCGATATATATAGACATTGAGAGCTGGATGCAAACTTTGGTACATTGCCACACTCCAAGACACCTAGTTACTACGTCATTTACTTCAAGGCGTCGCTAGGAGCCTGGAAGGTTACATGTAAAAGGATCAAAAAAATATATTTATTTAGCTAGATTTATGTACTGTTCACCATTTTTGCCATATGTCTCCTCAATATTGAGACCCTCCGTGATGAAAGTGTCCTTTTTCGCTCTCGCCCCTTGCGCCTACTATGTCGACGCACCATTCAAAAAAGCTATCAAATCCTTGATCCGGGTTATCTTCAGAGGACTGCCAATCAAGTCGAATAAAGGCGCATAGCCTAACAAAGAACCGCGCATGGGATCAAGGTCCGGAGGATACGGAGGCAAATACATTACCTTCGCACATCAGCTTCTGAACACATCCGCTCAATGTGTTCAGATTGGCGAAATGACGCATCGTCTGACTAGATTTGATTTCGGCTCTGGCTATTTTCATAAAGCTGGAGAAGCCATTTAATAACATCTCGAAGACAGGGAATTTATTGAGTCTTTGGACACTCGGACAAGACTAACTTGCGCATATGTAGGCTGTACCTGATATTGCTGGTACTTGATAGTATACATATTATGATCATGATGAAAAGTGTTACGGAAACACTATATCCTGCAGCTGGCTTGGCGTGCGGGGATACTAGGTGAAGCTATACAGCTCCTGAGCCTTTAAATAGATGAGTATCCTAACCTAGAAGGGGGATTGATACCTAGGTCGGTATCTTCCAAATAGGGCTGCCCATCTATACTAAATTAATCAGAATTTTCTATCTAGTGATAAAAATATTTTTATAACACGCCCGTAGACCTTAACTATTCTTACTGAATATAATTGTATAAAATTTATCTAGATAAAAACGTAGAATTTGGATTAGCCTTAGCTTATTTTAAAGCTAAAAATTCGATAATTTACAGTAGTAATAATAAATTAAAATTGATCAGTTTATAGTATAGTAAATTTGGTTGGGGTAGCTATAAATCAATAGAATTTTTAAATTATTTAATAGCTTTCTCAACCGCCGTATTAATTATATATATATATAAAAAATTAGTTTATTATATACGATTACACTTAGAAATAAATATATTATTATTATAAATTTAATCTATTTATTTCAATATTTTCTATTATAAATTTATTTTCTTAATTATTTTATAAACTGTCTCGACTATAGAATATTTTATTTTTAATTATTTAATAGATTATCTATAATTATTTATAAAATTTATTAATATAAAATATAGTTCCGCGAAATTATCCACTATTTAAAAGATAGTACATATAAAAAAAATCTATTAAAAAATAATTTAAATTTAACAAATTATCTAGTATTAAAAAAGAATTATAATAAATTTTAAAAGAATAGTAATTTTTTTATAAATCGAGTAAATATAATCTAGATTGTTTATATATTCTAATATATTATTATATTACGGGAATTACTTTTACTATTAATATATTAAATATAGTTTATATAATATACGTAAGTATTAGTATATAATCTATAGCTGGATATAGTAAAGATCGTATAGATAAATTATTTTAATAAAATAGATATAATAAAAGACAAAGATATAATAATTATATATTATACTATACTATTAGTAAATCTTTTTATTTTATATTAGATTTTATTACATCTACGTTTATAAAGATAAGATAGAGTTATATATCTCTAGTTTTATTAAATAGATTAATAAAACTATTGCGGTAGTATAATAGATAGTAAATAAAATATAAATTTATATTTTATCTAATATTAGTAAAGATATTTATAATATTAACTTATAATTATAAATAACCTAGTAAATATAGTATTTATAAAATTTTATTATATTAAATAATTTTACTACACTGTAAGCGTTAATAAAAATACTAATATTTAATAGCGATAATCATATAGAATAGTAAATATAATAAATTTAAGAGATAATAAAAAATATAATATAGAAAAGTTAATAGATAGTATAGTATATAAATTAAGCTATCTATGTAAAGATAATTTAATTTAAAAAAAATACATTTTATATTAACTGCTATAAGTATATTTAAATATAAATAGTATAGTTAAATATATATAACCATAGTAGTAGATCGTGGCGCTTATTATTTATATATAGATAATCTTTATCTAGAAGTATAAATATCCTATATATAAGATAATTTTTTAATAGCGGAAGAAATGGCGATAGCTATAGTAAATTATAATAAAGAATCTAGTAATTTATTATTTATTAATTAATAAGAAAATAAAACTAAACAAGAATATAGATAGAAATATTAAAAAAAAATTTAAAAAATCTTATATAGTAGTAATGGATAAGCGAGATTAAATATGTTTAGTATTTTATATTAACTTACTAAATTAAATATACTATATATAGAAATATAAAAGTATATTAATTTATATTATAGTAATATTAAATTATAGAGTTATTTAATTAATACAATTCTAAGAATTATCTTCTAATTTTATAGCTGGTAATTAAGATACTATAATTTATAATTATTTAATAAATACTATAATTAAATCTTAATATATTCTAGATTATTAAAATATAGTAATAGTTATAGAAGTACGCGGAATAGACGTTATAGAATATTATTATTAATATTAATTTTACATATAATAGCGATAATAACAAGTCTATATAATTAAAATTTATATTCTTTTTAATATTCTCTATACGTAGTTAAAATCTATTATAGAAAATGTTTTAAAAGTAGGTAACTTATTTATTTAGTTAATTAATAATTTATAAGATATATATACTAATAAAGATACTATAAAACTAGTCGATATATGAATTTAAGATCTATTATAATATTACTGTACTGGATTATATAATATAAATATAATTTAACCGACTGCTATACTAGTAGAGTGGCATTTGGGCAGGTTAGGTTAGGTTATAGGGTCAGTTATACCTAACCGCTAGATTATAATTAGATTAATAGAATTTCTATATTTAATTACAATTAAACTAAAAATTAAAGAGTTAATCTAAATTAACTATACTTAGTATTAAGACTATTAATCTTTACTAAGTATAGAAAATAATAAGCTAGGTTAACTATAGTTAATTTAATATTAATTTAATTATTTTAATCGAATATAAGAATATATTATTAATAATATAAAAGATTTCTATTTATTCATTGTATATAAAAAGAAAATATATTTTTAATTAAAAATTCTATTAAAACTATTATTATCTATAGTTAAGATAATATTTTAGCTAATTTTAATTTTAAATAGTTATATATAAGAAATAGATAGTTAAAATATATATAAATATAATTACTATTCTATTATATAATTATTATAAAATTTTGAGATTGCAAGTAGCGGTGTGCTATGAGAGGTAGAGAGTTACTGACCTTCTATAGGTCTGGAGGGTAACTATAGTCTTTATATATACGTTGGGGGGTTTAGTAAGATAGCTCCCTGGTAGAGCTACGGGGCCCTTTTATAAATTATAGTATTTTTTCTTAGTAATACGTTGTAGTTATAATTATATTTTCTTTTATTTAATAATCGAATATTTCTGAATTCGATAGTATTAAGCTATCTTTATATACGGGTACGGTTACATAATATTATTTTATAATAGCGGGATAGTTTCGCGTTTACTAGATTCGGTATTTAGAATCTAGTGTTATTTAGCAGATCGTATATAAATAGCGTTATTAGATAGTATTATGTAGGTGCATACTTTGGTAGTATTATATTATTTATAAATTATTATTATTAATAGCAGTGTTGCTAGGGCTTCCGTTATTAGAGTTAACTATTAACTGTTACTATTTACTATTACCTCTTTTTTACTTTTTTGTTTCGCTTTTTTTTATTAACGCGTTGCTATACTAATGTATTTACTAGCTTTTTTTTATTATAGATATTTCAATTTTCCTACAGTGTATAAGTATCGCGACTGGACGCTTAGTAATTATTTCTTTGATATCTTTAATTTTACTGCCATGGCCTCTACTACGTTAAAGGGAAAAGAACCTGCGAGACCTCTCGCCCGCATCGACGTCGACCATCCTCCTAAGGAGTCTCTTCTCCCCGTAGAATCCAACCGT